ATCTATCTATCTATCTATCTATCTATCTATCTATCTATCTATCTATCCAGAAAGAAAGTTTGCTTAAGAGCTTGTTTGCTAGACAGAAATGCGTGTGACTCGTACTTGATGGCTTGTATAGTGAAGCAAATGCCAGATTCTGCAGTTGGGCCTGTTGTTCATTTATTATGAGGCAAGGTTTTATTTTTTTCAAAGCATTGTCGGCTACACAGGATTTCCTGAAAATATTCCAATTCAGTTGATGTCCATGACTATTTAGGATTTTAAAATTGTTTCAGCAGTCTCAAGCTCCTCTGGGGGTCTTTGCTTAATCAATAAGGAAGGGTAAATAAGTAAATCTCTTCCCCCATGCATTCCGAGCAGCAAATTACTTTTTTTTAAAGAAGACCAATGCATGCATAGTTACCTCGCTGCTCATCCTCATCTGACATTTTTATAGAGAATTCAGTATGAGCTACTGAGCATGATGATGGGAATGTCTAGAAGGACATGGAGGGTATGATGCTGGGAATAACTTCTCTAAACCGAACAAATTTCTTAGACAAACAAAATACAACTCTATTGGCATAATATGGGAAAGACATCCAAATAAAGTTGATGATTGCTTAAGGACAAGCTGTGAAATTTGTACAGATGTTTGAACCTCAAACATCTGTACAAATTTCACAGCATGCCATTGCAATGATGCTGGCTGGGAAATTCTGGGAATGGAAGTCCTCACATCTTAAAGTGATCAAAGTAGAGAAACATTGTACTACAGCATTGTTTTTCTAAATTATACTATATCATGGGATAGTGGTAGATCTTTAAACTATATGCCCCATGTTACTAAATTCTAAAACACTTACTTTTTTCTATTTTGTCTGTTGCAGGCAAATGGACACAGTTTTGTACATATGGAACATGAAAAAGCTGTATTACTGCTGAAGAGTTTCCAGAATACAGTAGACCTAGTTATTCAACGTGAGCTCACTGTCTAAATATTTTTTTATAAATAATAAAATATGCCTAACATTTTTTGCCAATTGCTGGACCAATGGCAAATATAGTGCCAAATGTATAATATTATATGTTAGTAATGATTACCCTGGGGAAAATATAACTATATAAATATAACTTCCAAGTGATTATGTATTATTTTTCTTTGTAAGTCTCTGGCTATGCATTGGTACCAGCTTATTTTTAAAATATTCTTTTTAATTGTTTCTAGATGTCTTTATTTCAGGACATAGAAACACATACAAGTTCTTTACAAATCTTAAGTCTCCATAAAAATTACTGCCTCACAATTGTTTATGTTTTTAAAAAGAAAATTATATAAAATTATAATTCCCATAAAGTATTTCTATCTCACGTCAAATATAAATTATTTATAAAGAATATTTTAATAGTTCTATATTCAGTAACATGAGAATTGAACTTAATGGGATTCATTTCTGTAGAAATAGGTCTAGAGTTGCACTGCAGACCTGTTATCTTTTTCAGTTTTCTCTCTTTTTACAATGTAAATACATATATATCTTTTAAGAGTGCAATATCAAATTTAAAATAACATTCAATTTATTTGGGAGGGTAATGGGAGTCTACATTGGCAAACCAGGCTTTGCTACGCTCACAATTAATTATTAGAAAACATATATTCCTTTGCAGGATTTACCTCAAAGAATCTTACAATATAAATCATAAAGATAGTAACAGTAAAAGATGTTTAGTAGGGACATCAGTAGATACTGAATGTTGTATCAACTAGTTGATGGTTTGCAGATAGTTTGGACTACAACTTCCATAACCTCAGCACCCCAACCTCTGTTTATGCTGGCAGTTTGGGCTATATGTTTAGAAGACATTAAATTAGACAAACTGGTATAAGTTCTGAGGATTGTAGTCCACCTTCATCAGATGAAAGAAATGTTACTTTGAGTTACCAGAATATTCAGATATGAACAGGATTAGAATGTTACAAATCTGAGCACAGTGATAGGAAGGAAAGGAAATACAATTATTTTATTGCCCTTCACATAGTCTAAGAAAGTATGTAATTCAATATTCTTGTAACTCAAATATTTCACCTGCCAAGAGTCACAAGAATTCACCTACCATGACATACATAAATGCATAAATGTGCTATCATATATCCAATCTTTACCATGCCAAAAGGACTTTGAAAACAAGCCCAACTTTGGAATTCAGGAGTTTAAAAAATTGCCACAGATTGATTAGCCCAAGAGTCCAATACTTTTCTGTATAAGGACAGAGAAGATCAAGAAAAAATTTATTTTTTCACAATTTGTGTGTTGCCATAAAGTAGGTTGTTTCTTGAATTTTGAATATCATGCTGCTATGGAGAACGTCTCCACTTTGTCTGTAATAAGCAATCAACCTAGTAAGGGAAATATTATTATTCCCTTTGATATCTTGGACTCCAAATAATTAGGTAGTCATTTGCACTGCCAAATTTGTGCATTGTTTCTAAAGTCAAATTAGTCCACTTGTTGGAAAATTGATGTAAAAGACTTCTGTGCAGAAAAATGTCCATACCAAAAATTTGTTAAATAGGAAAGATATCCCATAATGTGCACATTAGCACAATGTACAAATAAAGGGATGGCTTTAACAATACTAAATATTCAGGTGGGGGGATAATAATTTTGCTATGTGCTTCCAGATTGACTTAGAACTGAGGACTTAGTAAATAGAAATTTATAGATTAATCCATAAAATACTCTTTAATGGCAATATTGTTTTAAAAATTAATGCTTGTCTAGATGTGATTTAACTCTATTGTTCAAAAATATTATTCCAGGTTGTGCATGAGAAGGAAATTTCTTTGATTCCAAAGATAGATTAATCTATGGTTTAAATAAGAGGCCTTGGTTTGGAATTATTCATTCCTAACATAAATAACTGGTTATCTCAAACTGAGTAGAAAATTAGTTATGTAACAAGTTGGTGTTTATTAATACTTTCCCCCTAATTCTTTATAAAAACCTTGTACAAGATTAATATTCTATCTTCCTAGCGATAAAAAACCATCTAAATAATTCACAATATAAATTAGAGCTCTGCTAAATTTTTAAGGAAAAAAATGCTTTGTAAGAATGCAAAGATCCTTTGGTTCTATATTTTAGCCATGATATTGTTCTGCTATTCTCTTAAAAAAGAGAGCATTAAGTAACCCTTCTTTTCCTCTTAATTACTGAAATCATCTCAACCAATCAGAAACCATATAGATTTGATTAGATTATGAAATCAGTAAGGAAAATAGGACTGCATTGCTTTTTCTCTAAAATAACAATATAAATTAATGTATCAAAATCAGCATGGGGATGTGTATTACACTACACATGTTCTTAAAAGCACAATTGCACCTTGGCAACGTGTAGTTTGGGAAAGTGCATTCTGGTGCATGTCCTAATTAACATTGGTTGTTTTGATTATCCTCTGTTGGGAAAAAGATGGCATCCTAAAGCCGAGCTCAGCATTTCCAAGTCAAGTACTGGCTTAATTGCCATCCATGGACAACTTTCCCCCAACAGAATGATGTTTATGTTATTTAGGGAGCTTTAAGGAGTCTACCTTTTTGAAGGGCATGAAATCATTACGAAAATATTATTCCCTGTTTCTGTTCAGGGTTAGTGTAAGTATAAAGCCAATTCATGTTTTCTCTAGGATCACATTCCATCCCTTCCTAGTAGTCCTTCTGAAGTTGACTGTAGCTAGCTGGAAGTTCCCATCTTGCAACCATCCAGTTGGGGGATGCAGAGGTTGGGAGAAACCTGAGGACAACGGCAGATTTCTTCCGCCAAAGTATGGCACATCCAGCTGAGTTCTGTTAAACATTCATGTCAGAAAAGGGAGCCTAGTTGGGAAATATGGAAATCTTTCTCTTTTCTCACCCCCTTAAATTTACAGAGCATCAGATAAGGAATAACGTGTGATCTTAAGCTGTTAGACCAGCACCAGATTCAAGTCTACCCTTAATCATGCAAGCTGATTGGGTGGCTTTCAGACAGTCATTCTTAGCCCAACCCACTTAACGGGGTTGTTTCTGTGGGGGGAAACGTACCCTGCGTTGAACTTCTGAATGAAAGGCAGTGGTAAATAAAATACAGTGCTCCACACAATATACAGCATTTATTCAATTTGTGAAGGACTGTGTGTGTGTGTCACTATGATCTTTAGGCAGTTCTGAAAAACACAGCACAGACTATATAGCTAAAATCTCCCTTCCCATTTCCAAACAGGTAATCTGAGCAAATCTATTCAGTCATCTTTGGCAAGGCTTTTTAAAGGCTCCTGTGAATTCCAAAGCAGAAGCTGAATTGCTGCGTTCAGCTCCTACTTCTCAAATTGAGTTTTGCTGCATTCGTTTCCATGGTGACAGTTGTGCTAGCCAACCCTGACTATATACAAAGGGGATCTGCTCAAACATGCCTTAAAGCATGATTAAAAGAAGCAGGAGAGACGGACAGCTCTGTTTTTTTGGCTTCCACACAGGAGAGCAGCTGTTTATGCACGGGAACACACACACACACACACACACACACACACAAATAGGACTTCGGTGTACGGAGAGCAAATAGATTTGCATCTATTCTTGCAGCTAGGCCAATTTGCCTATAATAGACCCTCTACAGAACAATCTTAGCAAGCTTTCGCTCTCAGAACCCTTCCTGTGGATTTTCTTCCCAGGACTATTTATAGAAAGTAATGTAAAAAGCAATCTAGTTAATAAGATGCCATATGGAATCATTTTAGGAGGGACAATACATTTTTAAACATCACCTTGTAAGTACCACATGGAATCATTTTGATAGGTATGACATTTTTTAAAAAAAAATCAACTAAAATAAGTGCAAGGAATTATCTAGGCAGCAATTTTTAAAGTTATCTTTCATACAAGCACTCTTTAAAACTTGCAACTGGTTAAAATTAGACTTCTGTTCTCATACAAATGATGTAAAGTTTTTTAATTTATGTGTAAATATTAGTATAAAAAGATACAATTAACTATTAATCAGGAAGATACGTTAGGACAGTGGTTAGGAAAGTCAACTGTTTTGCTGTTGTGAATTCTATTTTGCCCTTACTGCCAACGGCGAGTACCATTTAAAATCTCTCACAAAATATAGTCAAACTTCCCAGTTTTGTCAGAATCGTCTTCCTTCACTTTGTAGCTGACAGATTCCCTTGGTAGCTTTCCATGGCAATATCAGATGTATTACTTTCATAGCTTCAATGTATGTATCCTTTTGCACTAAGGACCTCATCATGTTAAACTGGGACAGATTTTTGAATTTGAATCTAATTCTTTTCATGAAGATTTAATCACTGTAAGGAGCATATTTGTAGCTCAGGGTTGAAATGAGGGGTCCTTGGTACTCCTGGGCTCAGTTTTTTTCTTGCAGACATTTCATTATCAGTGCTTGGTAACATATACCTGATGATATTACTTAGTTTGGGTAATGAAACATCTTCAAGAAAACAACCTCATTGTAAATCTCATGCCTATGACATTTTGGAGAAAATATATTCTTAACTGAGGAGCACATGAAACACTTTGTCACAGCAAGCTGTGCCTTCCATTTCTCAGTAAAAATATAAGCATTGTATTGAGCTAGCTTGTTGAATGTTTTGAGTTGTTTCTGGCAACAATGCATGGCTTTTTTTCAAAATGCCCAAGCAAATGAGAAGAGCTGTTGGTAAAATTCAATCACACCAAGAGCAGCCATTTCCAATGACTGGCTGAAGTTTTCCATGCTTGTAACTTTCATGTTCCTAAAGTAAAAGGTGGAATTGAAGAGCACTTAAGATCTATAAAACATTATTTTTAATAAAATACCTAAGATCCATTCGGAATTGCCATAACCATTTTCCTTTTGTTCATGTCTGCCTTTATTACCTTACATTCCAAACAGGAGATGTATTAAACCATTTTTAAATCAGAAGTTAAAAATTAAATTTTAAAAAATGCATTGCTAGTAGCTTAAAAACTCACTTTATGTACTTACTACAATGTTTGAGAAATCCAACAGCGACACCCAGAGGCTAAGAATATTTGTCTTGGCAACACAAATTCTTGATAGTGGATTCTTTTTTGGGGGAAAAATGAGACTACTTTTGAATCATTATGAACTTTAAATGTGCTTTAAGTTTCCACATGATTTCATTCCATCAAGAATGTTCATGCCCCTTTGTGAAGTTTTATTCTGAACATCGATAAGCCACACCAGTTCAGCACAAGAGGCTGAATTTTTATAAATCGGGGCCTTTCCTGCCTCTTTGCTAGCTTAAGTGGCTTAACACTGGGCAAGACAAAGACTTATTAGTTACGTTTTTCTACTTGTGAGTACTGTAATCAAGTAAAAAACAACTTACTTTATTACAAATTTTACCATTTTATAAAACACGTTTAATTATAGAGATAGCTGTATTGTAATTAATATTTTGAAACAATTGTGATTTTGAGCTTAAATTATATACAGAACTGTCATTTTTGTATGTGTTAAAAAGATTGCTATATGACAAAATACTTTTCAGTTTAATTACTGTATCATTGTAAATAAGGCTGAATGAAGAATCATTTACTACTTTATGAACATAGATTGTGAATGTAATTCAATGTTTTGCAGTATACAGATTTACTGAACTTGAAAGCTGCTTCATTTTATGTGAAAAAGTACTTTAAAGCTATATTTTAAATGAATTGATTCAGTGAAATCAATCATCTTTAATTTGCACATACAGATAGTATCTTTTCCATTTTACTTTGCGCATTGACACTAACTAGTAAGGTGTATATTGTGTCTAGAATGCATTTTGCAGATGCTTTCTGTACATAAAAAGAATACAGGGACTCAAACAATGCTGTGCAGCGTATAGCAGAGCCATTTTCGGCTTTGATGTACTCAAATTTTTTCAGTATTTAAAAAAAGTGTTTTGAATAATATATTAAAAAGTCTATTGTATAAATAAAGTCACCTTATTGTAAATATCCTGCCTCCAGAGCAATGTATTGCAACAATTGCATCTTTTATTACTCACAGAAAGCCAGTATTAATAATCAGCAGCAAATCTCTCATTAGAACTTTGGTTTTTACCTGTTTTTGGATTCAGTCAGTTTTAATTTTTTAAAGACTCCCCAAGTTTATCCGAAGCATAGTTTGGAACATAAAAGAGCAGCTTTAAAGGTTACTTTCCCAGCAGCTGCCATCATAGACAAAACATTTGGTCTCCTGGGGTTTTTGAATTTTGAATGTTGATGATCCTGTTGTAGCTAAAGCTCATACAGGGTGGAAAGCATCTGGCAGAGCTGGGTATATGTGGAATATCTCTCTCTCTCTCTCTCTCTCTCTCTCTCTCTCTAACACACACACATTTTAATGCACTGGTGTAGCCTTTATGCTATCCTTAACTTCCCAGCTGCTGAAAAAGTCAGTGTCTACAGCTTCACACAGGAGCACTTAAGCATACTTGTTGGAGATTACAACTAATGTCCAGAAGCAACTCTTTGATCTGTAAGAATTCATCCCAGCATATTTAGAAAACCCAAAACATTTTATTATATAGACAAAAGCAAACATCTAGAAGATGCTATAGCACCCTGTTTATCTCTAATCAGCACATTTCCTGTATTTAAAATAGTCCTTCATTTAGTGTATCACTGGCCAGCATCTAATGTCAACATTCTGGAAAAAACACCCCTTACTGGAACAGCTGATTGGGGTAGGCAGAGGTGATGTTGTATGGGTGGAAGCTAGACCAGGGTGGCCAACTGTGGCCCCTTTATGACCTGTGGATTTCATTTCCCAGAATTCCTGAGCCAGCAGCCATTCCTGGCTCAGGAATTCTGGGAATCTAAATCCACAGGTTGTAAAGGGGCCACAGTTGCCCATGTCTGAGTTAGAACCAGCTGTCTTTTAAGCTTGTATTCAATTAGGATTGCAGCTTTTGCACCCTCAGTACTTGTCAGCATCCAACAAATAATTCCATATATCGCTGAACAGACAGTATAGTATTATACAAGGAATTAAAACCTCAGTCTTAACACTGGTGATTCAACAGAACAATTCATCAAGAAACACTGTTTACTTAATATTTCAGGACTGGAATTTGGCAGGAATCCTCACTCAAACAGGGATTTTGTATCAGAATAAAATAATCTAAAAGCAAGCCAAGTACGATACCACAATGAAATAAGTATGTTTATCTTTCCAATTAAGAAACAAACATACAAGAGGACAGAATAGAAGGAAAACATTTGAAGAGAGTATTTACAATGTGATATGTAAGGGGGAGAAATGAAAGAATTAATAGAACAAAACAGAACCTTACCAGTTTGCTTCCTACAAAACTAATATTTGCAATGATGCCTGTGAAATCCACAAAAACCATGAGAGCCTATCAGCCCCAAAGTTGTGAATTGGATTAAACTTGGATTAAGGTACTATTTCCTAATATTTGTGATACTCTGTATTGTAATGTTTTGTATGTTTTTTTGCATTTGTAAATGTGTATAAATGCTATTTTTGAAATTTAATCTGATTTTAAAATACATATTACATTCATGTACCAAAACACCAATGGCAACCAAATATTTAGTTTATACTTCTTCTATAAAAGCCTTCAGACCAAAGCCTTAACATTGTATACATGAATGGCAAACACATTTTGGGGGCGCTTAAAACATATAAATAGAATTCTAAACAACTGAGAAGTATCAAATATAAAATTAAAACATGGCCATACCAGATATATATGTTGAAAGAAGAGAAGACCATAAGCAACTATTTGCTTTTGCTGGGTAGAGTCATAGATCACTCACCCAAATATATGCCATACAAGTATAGCCCCAAGAACAGCCTGAGTTGCCTGCTGGTAGGCTAAAATCCTTTGAGAACCCTAGAAGCAACATCCTAGCATATGCATTTTCAAGGTAAGTTTCCCAACAACAAACGCCATGATCTTCGTTCTTCAGAAAGTAAGATGTTGCACACTTTTTAGTTCATATCAGCAGCAACAGTAGGAATCCTGCTTCTCAGATACTCAAGCACAGCAGCTGTTCCCTTAGCTAGAATAGCTGCACGGGGAGTTCGGAAAGGGTTACCTTCCAGTAAAAGTACTCTAAGAGAAAGAGAGAAACCAATTAGAACTGCTGTTCATTCAGGTGCAGAGTCTATAAGAATACAGAAACATTCAGAGGGAGTGAGGAAATCCATGGAGACTCCTCTCGTTCAAACTGCAGAAGCTGAATCAACATCTTCAAAATGCTTCCATTCGCATGAGGATTTTGCTAGATTAAACAAACATTCAACAGCAATATTGTATATATAATCTATTTACCTTCCAGTAATACTTCTGCCACTTATTAAAATGTCTGTTTCTCTTCTACAGGCTTACCCTTGAAATAATGTCCTCACAGAATCTCTCTTTAAAGTCTACTTTCTATCTCAAGGCAGAGCTGAAATCAGTTTCATATTTTGATCGATTGGATTTTCTTACAAGCTTTCCTACTAGATGCAACTTGCAAGGGAAACCTACTACATTAAAGAAGCCCTAATCCATTCTAAATTCTTGAAACAAGATCTACACATTGAAAGCATAAGTTAAACCTTCCTTAGGGCTTATTAGAATTCCGAGAAATAATTATCAGTTTATTTAATTTAAGGCTGATCTGCTTTACTTTAGGTAATTAGTTGCATAGTCAAGATTTGGAAACGTCAGACGACTGAGTGTGCACTGTCCCCTTCACTCCCCACAGGTGAAAGAAGAATTCGATTTATTTAGACCTGACCTTTCTGATAAATTGATTCTGAGGATTTTATTAAATTGAACTCAGTATATATGATATTCAAGAATCTACTTAGCTTGATAGGGCATAAATCTACTGGATCAGAATGCTCTACTCTCGGTCATTCATGTCCTGGTCACTTTCACATGGATTGCTGTAATCCGTTCAATATGGGGTTGCTCTTGAAGACAATCATACGCTTCAGCCGCTACAAAGTGTGGTGTGGGTAGTTATATGCACACTTAGATCAGTGCACATTACACTTCTGCTCTGTGAGCTGCATTGGTTAGCAGTCTGCTTCCCAGTTCAGTTCAAGTTGTTCATAACATCCTCTAAAGCCCTTATGTGGCATGGGGCCAATTTATTTGAGCCCCCCCTTTTATCTACTTGCCTAATTAGATCCAGCAGAAGGCCATGTTGCCTGGGGAACAGGCAGGAGTGATGTGGAGCTGGCAAAATAGCTATGCTGTTGAGTGAGATTGTTTTCACTCTCCCGTAGATTATGTTTTTTATGATGTTTAATAGCTTTTTATTGTTTCAATGTATTTTAACAGGGTTCTTGTTTTTATATCATTTTTATTGTTTATTGTGTTTTTAACTCTGCTCAGCTGCTCAGATTGACAGCTGACAATTGAATTTATTTAAACAAATTGAACAAATTATTAAGTACAAATAGGAGCACATGGCGAAGTGCTCCTAACTGAAAATGATGTAAACTATCCTAAGGAACAAAATATTCTCTGATGCTCCATATCCACAAATCACTATATAATACATATTTTAAAAAATAAAAGCAAATCAGTTCAACAGACATCAATATAGCAGTAACCCCCTTACGAAAGCTGCAATAAATGTTTGCAATGCTTCCGCACAGTATTTTGGTAAAATAAATATGATGTTTAGAAACACTCAAAGCTCATGTGGTCACCTGAGATTGTCACAATTCCCAAGTTCTGGTGGAATCTGTAGGAGATCATTGTTTTGAAGATCTAGAGTACTGAGCTTTTCCATCTTCTTTAACTGTTGAGGATCTAGGGATCCAATCTGATTATTTCCAAGAAGGATGGCTTCAAGAGTCACGATGCGATAGAGGACATGTGGAAATATTTTAAATCTATAAAAATTAATACACATTTCATTAATAAATAGGTAAGTTGAAATAATTTGATTATACTGAAGGGGAAAAAAATCCATGGAAACAGAACCAACAAAATACTCTTACATTCTTGTGATCACGCCAGAGAGTAAACATGACAAACTGTTCTTTCAAATAGTTTGAAAAACATGTTGAATGATGACATTACTATAAACTCTAAACACATGCAATTTATAAAAACCTTAATTATGTAGAATAAAATACAAATAATTATTTTTAATGGTAAAACTCCAGCTGTGATTTCAGGTGATAATAGTCTTTTAAAAAATAATTTTGTATACTGAAAAACTGCTTGGATCCTACCCACTGTATTTATTTTATTTTATTTATTTATTTATTGGCCTTTATTTATTTATTACCATTGGGTAATTTTTACATAGAAATGCTTATGGGAGAAGATGTTACGTTAACTAATGTTTTTTATGTATAATTCATCCTTGAATGACAAACAAATTGCATGCTAACTATTCTATAAATGTCCCAAGCCAATCAATTTCTATGTGAAGTAATATTAAATTATTGCAGAATAGCGCAGAAGGGAACATTCTGACATCCATGGACAGGCATTTCCACTGTCAGAAGATGGCTTTTTAAATATGAAATCTCCCTAAAGTTTCCTGTGTTGACTCTATTTGTACATCAGACTTGTTGGGTGACATACATGCACAATGCTCTCCAAAATACAAATAGCAGCGCCACATAATACCACATGAAGAGACTGTAAGAGCACTTACCTGTTAAAGGCAATATTTATTATCCGTAGTTTTGTCAATGCTTCCATTTCATCTGGCAGAGATGTCAAAATGTTATTTCTAAATTGTCAAACAGAAAAGCAATCCCTTTTTATTGTATGTCAATATTTAAATTGAATTATGTAATATAAAACATACATAAAATTATGTTTCCCATCAGACATAAATAAATATACCTGAGTTTGAAAGGAAGGTAGTTCTGGGGTCAAACAATAGGAGAACTGCTTTTCTCAAAACATGTTAGGAACTTCTAGCTAGTAAGATTGAGTATTACTCCTAATTCAATTTTTCTCAACTATGGCAACTTGAAGATTTGGGAACATCAACTCCCAGAATTTTCCAACTAGCAAATTTCTGGAAGTTAAAATCCATACAACATCAAGTTGCCAGGATTAAGAAACACTGGCTAATTTCAAAGGGCTCCTTTCGATTTGTATCTACTCTACATGATCATGGGAGTAGACATAAATAAGTGGGTCTCAAATTATGCAAACTATGGCCTAATTTCTCCTCTTGATTTTAAGGAAATTATTGCCATCAGTATTAGTATGTTTATTTGGCATGTACTTGTATCTAAGCATCATACAAAACTTATATTTTTACCCTGTAACAAACCTATATAGTAGAAGAGAGTGCAGCTGGCCCCAAATCAACCAGTAAGATTCCATGGCTGAAGGTAAACTAGACCTAATTCCCCACTACTAATCACAAACCTTACATACTGCAATATCATATAATTTTGGACTTCAACCATACCTGAGTCAACATTAGTCAGATTCATAATAAAATAAGTCTTGTCCCCATATTAAGAGGGAGTGTCTGAAAGGGGTTTCCATTTATAATAATTTTCAGGCAACCAAGATACTTTATCGGGGATCACAAAACCACAATTCTGTAATCTCACTGAAGCTGAGCCTTTGAAAGATTCCTACCTGATAATACTGGCGATTTTGAGACAAAGGTTTACAGTGGAACCTTGGGTCGCGGCTGTAATCCATTCCAGGACTACAGTCACAATCTGATTTGGTCGTGACTGGAAGCACGACTGTCTGCGCATGTGCGGACCAAAAAAAATTGGCGCCAAAGGGGAAATCACCACGGCAGGGAAAATAGCCATGGCAATTTTCGGGCTTGCTTGGTTACCACCCGAAGATCTGTTCGCAACCAGAAGCAAAACAGAAGCAAAAATTCTGGTTGTCACCCAATTTGGTCGCGAACAGAAATGTTCGCGACCCAAGGTTCCACTGTAATTTCAGGATCCTTTGAGACTCCTCTGAATTGGTTTTATCCTACTCTGACACTTCTAAATTGTGTTCTTAGATAACCTTTCAATATTTTCAATATTTTTTGCATTTGGGGAGAAAACAAAACCTTACAGGTATAATTTAAATGCAGCTTTTAAATTTTTCAGGAATTGCTTACCTGAGTTCCAAATGTGTCAGTCTGTGAAGCATACATAGCTCCAGTGAAACAGAAGACAGCTTATTGAAACTCAAATTAATATCACTCACAGATTCTTTTAGTTCCACAATCCTGGAGAAATGGTAAAAATAAATAAATAAGTAAGTAAGTAAGTAAGTAAGTGTAAATAAATAAGCAAGCAATTTAAGTGAAGTTGTTAGGATCTGCATTATTTGGAGCTGTTTTAATAAATATTGATAATAATGCAATTAAACTGTTGTGGATTATTTTTAACCAACCTATATTTCACAATGAAAATGTACTCCAAAGTAAAACAAAGTAAAACAAAGACTATTTGAGAAAAGAACATGGGCAACTGTTAAGAAACACTACAAAAAAACAAAAATCTGAAAGCCTCTATTTCATCCCAAAGTGAGACGGAAAGCTATAGAAACCAGGCACTTATAATATTAAGTGTGATTAAATGCAAGGTAATGGGGTACAGGGTAGAGCACAAAGCAGTGAGAGCAGACAGGTGGCAGACCGTAGGGTGTTGGGGAAATGGGAGTGTAGGATACAGTAAGCAGCAGGGATGAAGTACAGAGGTGGGGTTGTAGCATAGGGTGGCAGGGACAGTGTAGTGCAGGAAAATAGAGCTACAAGGTGTAGTGCAGAGTAGTGGGGAAGGCAGGGGCAGTGGAGAGCAGGGCAACAGGACCAAGGAAACATAGAGTGGCATGTTTGGCAAAATACAGGGCAGAATGCAGGGCTCATAGTGTGAGTCAACCAAAAGGGCAGAGATGGCAGGGGGGAGACAGGCAGGTGGAAGAGTTGTAGTAAGGGTGAGCACTGCAGAATAGGGTAGAAGCATGATGTTCTTGCTTTATCATGACATGGTTCTTGCCTAACAATCACAACCGGGATTATAGAACTGCCATTGCTAAGAGGTGTAGATATGAGGTCATGCGATATTTTGCCTAACAACTGCATCGCTTAGTGATGGAAATTCCGGTCCCAATTAGGGTCATTAAGCGAGAGCTACCTGTAAATTTTCTTTACAATAAGAGCCATGTTAAAAACTATAAATACGTAGTACCTTGCTGGAATTTCAGTCAGATTATTCTTGCTGAAGTTTACATTACTGACTGGATTGTCTCCAACCGCATTCAGAACTTCATCCGGTATTACAACGGCCTGTTTCTCACTATACAGTATTTTAAAAAGTTATCTTGTTTGAAAGGATAAAAATGATCAGTCTTGTTTGCTCTACACATTGTTTCATTGGAATGTTATAAAAACACATTAAAAGTTCAACATGTCATACATTAATGATAAAATCATTCTTTTTTTAAACCTTATAAATATCTTCTGTTGTGCCAGACCAACTAGAATAAACCTTGCATACAACAGACCAAATTTATGTTTTGATTTATCTAATTTGCAGCAACTTCATAACCCTGTACACAAATAATATAAATCTCTACATTTTCCAAATCAGTTTTCTTCAATAGCAGACTCTAAATCTACACCCATAATTGGTCAAATTAAAATAAGGTTTTACTGTACTAACCTACGAAACCACAAGACAGGATAGTTATATCACAACTAACATTGGGCTGATTTATCTAGTCTTTGCAATGACACCTGCTTGAGAAAGCACTTGACCTCAATATCAATGATTTAAATAAAAATACAATTCATGTAACAAAGATGAATTGTCATATTTCTTTCATTCAAGTATAAATAAGAAATTTCCTGATATAAGGGATTTCTTAGGGGCTATTGATTGGGCTCAAACATTCATCTCAAGACACAGTTTTTGAAAACTATGTTTTTTTAAATTAAGTCATAATGATTGATTCCAGGGGTTATATTCTGTAAACCGAAATGGGTGGATTCATAGATAGTTCTAAACAAATTAAAACAGTATTATAGTTCAAGATGATTTGGGTATACACTGAATACTTTAATAAATTTGTTTATTTTTATTGTGTTTTTATACTTCTAACATTTTCTTAAGGTGGTTTATAGCTAAAAAAAACCTAACACAATACAAATATTAAACTAAAAATTTAAATAATTAACAAATGTTGCATATATATTTGTACAAGGCCATAGTTATATATATCAAAATCTGTTTTAAAGTATTTCAAGTTTTCAGCAGAGGTTGATTTATTCAGTTTTAGGTAAAAGACATTCCAGAGGAAAGGAGTTATAGAAAAATCTGGTTCTTATAAAATTAAAATATTCCTACCTATAATCTAATGTCTTCAGCACAGTAATAGCATGCATATTAATTTTGGATTGACTTGGCAAAGTCATTGCTGTCATGGGAAATTCTCCATTTGGGTTAATTATTTCATCATCTACAAAAAAAAGTAGGTTCACATAAAATCTGACACGTAAAATCTATTAAGATTTCAAATTTTACCAATAAGCTTAGTCTGTATTTAACATAAAATATTAAAATATTCAACCTAAAATATTTTTCACTTTGGATGCATGCATTCAAAAAAATCAGGCTTGTTCAATTAAATGGACTGGAAGATTCCTAGCATTGAATAGTTGTAGACAGAACCAAGTGTAGAGTAAATACACTTGTTCTCACTTTTGAGATTGTCCATCACCAAAAGTAATTGTCACACAAGGGGCTTAATTTCCCCCCACTCCAAATTTAGGTCTGTTCTAAATATAGCATCCCTGGAAAATATTTGGAATTGTTCTTTGAAAAATCTTTAAAACTACTGACTCAGTTCTACTAGTAAAAGGATATTTCAATAAATAAGTGATCTGTAATGTTCACAACATTTTACTCCATCATCCAGGAAGGCTGCATGTTTACTTGGGCACTTATATATTCCAAAATAAAAATACACATTTCTGTTAAAATTACTAAAACATTTCCCAACAAATGAGAAACAGATATTCCAAAGTCTCACTTAACTATAATTTTTGACTTTTAAATAAATTATTTACCTTGTATTTTGCTTCTAAGGTATTTCAGGATTTCTTGTGTTCCTTTCTAAAATGAAAGAATTAAAAGCATAAGTAGTTTATCTTACAATTGTCAAGGATCCAAAATAAGTAACATGGTATGTATACTTACTTGTAGAATATCCTTTCGGATTGCTCTTAAAGGATTTCCTTCCAGAGCTAAAAATTTCAACTGAGAAAGGTTTCCTAGTTTACAAGGAAGACTGATAACATAAAGAGGTTATTTCAGAGATTGTATCCATCAAAACAAGTAAATGCAATATAATTATTTTCACCATTCATTATTTTTAACCTCATTATTAGAAAAGGCTCTTATTTTTACAATTTCATGAATAACACACTTTCCAAATTTCATGAATAACACACTTTCCAAAGGCAAAAAATGTGGTTTTGAAATGAATTAACATATGTTACTCCTTTCACAAGTAAAATAATAAATATGCTTCCTACTTGCTAATATCATTGTTGGATAAGTCTAGCCGTTCTAATCCCTGTAACAGAGTGATTTCATCAGGCAATGATTTCAACTTATTATCTCTTAGTTCCAACACACACAAGGAATTCAGATACTTCAATTGTTCAGCTCTTAATACTTCAATCTGATTTTCACCAACATGCAATTCCTAAGGAAAAAAATAACATTGTTTTTACATCTATTAAAATAAAGTTGTCTAAAAAGGAGAATATGTCAATACATTTTTTGTAATTGTATAGGTTTAAAAGCAATAATAAACAATATTTTAATCCAGAGTTCCTTAAATGTGATATTGGATTGTAATATTACAAGCATTAAAGACATATAGATTATTGTGTACTAAATCACACCTGTTCTTCCACAAATACTGGTATAATTACAATCTCATAATCTCTTTTTTTTTTAAATCTACCCATATTCTGAAAGTAGGTTGCAGTTTCAACTTCTAAATGTGATAAATTAATTATAAGCACCATTGCAATCGGACCAGCCATGTATTCATACATTATACAATATAAATGCATTCCTCATTTCTTTAAAACACAGTATCTGAAAACATTATATGCATTATATATAGACAGCTTCTAATAGTTATTAAAGAAAAAATTAATTAAAATGCCACTTCAATAGATAGCTATATTAACAATTAAGCTTAGCTCCATTTTACCATTATATATAACTATTGTTTGCTATGGATATCTGTGAAGAAGGCAAATGACAAAATGCTTATCTCAATAGTGCATGTAGGTATATAAAAGTTGGAAGTGCTGCAGTGACATTGTGACACAGATATTTTCATTTTGATAAAAACTGCTGGATTCAATTCAAATCTCCACTATGTGTTAATAGGCCAAAACTCTGAAAGAAAACAAATCCTACCTTTAAATATGTACATGAATGAAAATCTGGCAAGTAGCACAACTTATTTCTCCTGAGATAGAGTTGTTCTAATGAAACCATACTGCCCAGTTCAGGAGGTATATTTTCCAGGAAATTCTTAGTGCAATCCAGCTGTCTTAAATCTAGACGAAGAGAGCAAATAGAGAAAGAACTTGCATCATCTGTACCAAAATAATCATGGTGGTTTATTAAAGATCATAACCATACAGGTTTTCAATATGCTACGTCCAGAAACCGAATAAATGTTTAATTTAAGAAAGATCAATAAGAAGAAAGTCCCAAATGTATGTATGGCATGTTACCAATATGGCTTCTTCAGTAACAGTGCTAAATGCAAGGTTATAGAAATACTGTTGGGATTCAGCATGCTCTCTTTTCATTTACATTAAAACAAAATTCTTTAAAAGGAAAAAAAAGCTGCTGACAATATTTTAGAAAACCTCTTTTAGAAACTGGAAAATTAGATAATAAAAATAAAGCAATAATTAAATATAACTCAATAGGCCCTTACTTTTCATTGCACTGATTTCTGTTGGTAGATTCCTTAATTGATTAGAACCTAAATTGAGACGCACCAAGTTTATAAGGAAAGCAAAACTCGTAGGGATACCAGAGATATGATTATTAGAGATATCCTAAAGAAAGAAAGGAAAGAAAACCATATTTTACTTATTTTGAATCTTAGCTATGTGAGAAAACATAAGTTGTAATTTATAACCTGTTTAAGAAATGTAGATCTGGGTTAGCTGAAAACAAATTGGTTAGCACAATTCTACCTTCCATTTTGAGTTCTGACATCAAAACTTTGGCCTATCCTACCTATTAGATTCATGAGCCACACAGAAGCAAATTGATTCCTTTCATTTCATTTCCAGCTTGAGAGATCATTTTTACCGTTTCTATGTTTAGAGAGCATGACTGGAGAATATGTATGCAAACCTTCTCCGAGCTACTAGATACTGTATCTGTCTGAAACTCAATGCTAGAGAGGTATATCGTTTGAATATCATCACTGAAGAGAGATTTGACGTTGAACCTCTTCCACTAACGTCAGATTCCTTCTCTGTTCTCAAGACAAAGACGGAAATTTGATGTATCCTGTATTCATTCTATGTCACCCAAATTCTCCAATAATGTTGTATAGCTAATTCTTCCATTTATAATGACCGAGAGCCAATGGATCATAATAAGTTTACATTCTATAACAATATCCTTAATGCCATCAAACAAGAACATCTGCTATCCCAGGTCCTTGGAGAAGTGAATAAAAATGCTAATCCAGTCTAAACATCTGGCTGATTGTGTGACAAACCATATTAATAATAATTGACAAACCACCACCAGTCCATTACAAAAGGCAGCCTTACTTGGAAGAGCTTACATTTATTACAATACCTTGAACATGATGAAACAATATATGCCTATGCTGGATCTTTGGGAAGGTTTTGATAGATTGATAAAAATGCCAAGGGCCAAATCCAGCCTAAACATCTGGCTGACTGTGCAACCAATAACAATAATATAAACTTGTATGGAGCCTGAGAGAAACAGGATGGGGATTTTTGACTCCTCTTTTTAAAACTTCCACTGCTTTTTCTTGCACAGATGCTCTCCTGCAGGGTCTCGTTCTTAGGGAAATTGTGGGAACTGACTGCTTCCCCCCCCTTTACAGGTAGTCCTCAATTTACAATCACAATTTGTGTTGCTAAGTGAGAGTTAAGTGAATTTTGCCCAATGTTACGACCTTGCTTGCCAGAGTTGTTAAATGAATCACTGCAGTTGTTAAGTTAGTAACATGGTTGTTAAACGAATCTGGCTTCCCCAGTGACTGCTTGTCAGAAGGTCGCAAAAGGTGACTCCGCAACACTGCAACCGTCATAAATATGAGTCAGTTGCCAAGCATCTAAATTGATCATGTGATGCTGCAATGGTCATTAGTGTGAAAAGCGGTCATAAGGGACTTTTTTCAGTGCCAGTGTAATTTTGAACAGTTACTAAATGAAGTGTCAGTTGAGGACTACCCGTACTTGGGGGTCACCTACTTCAAGTCCTAGAAATGTACTGTACTTAGTCTATGAGTAACAAATAAATTAAAACAGTAGCAACTACAACCAAAAGAGAAAGTCAGAAACCATCAGCTTCTGCTTACCAACTCTTCCAAACTGACAAGTTGTCCGAATTCATCAGGCAAGTGATACAATTGGTTGTGCTGCAGAAGCAGGCTCCTCAAGTGTTTTAGCTGAGTAAGCTCTTCTGGTATCTTTTGCAGTTTATTATGACTATTGATAAAATAGGAATTGTGAAGGGCTGCATTACTATACAATTGGTCTGCTATTCAGTTTAATAAATAACTACAATATGAATTACCTTTGCTTGTTTGAACTACTGTTGCCTTAACTAATCTTCCTATTGTGTAATTATTTTTTTCTAGTAGGTTAAGAAGTAAAAACCATGCAATCCTAGAACTAGTCGGTGGCTTACAATTCAGGAATTATATAACAGAAGTAATAATATTCTTTACATCCAGGATTTATTAATTTTTTCAAATCAAATTCTCAATTAAAGCAAAATGTCAAAGCCTGCAAGTACTTATATAATAATTTCTTAACAATGAAAAATATTCAAGATTTCAAAAACTGAGCAATTTAAGAGCACCTATACTGCTGTTATCACACACTTCAGTTCTTAAGGGTGTACTTTGATTTTTTTTCCCTCTAATCTAATTTCTACCAGCTGCCAAAGGCCTGTTTTAGCTTCCAGGTGAAAACTAGGCTACTTTCTTATTGGATTTATATAGTTGCCAATCTTACACAATACTCTGGGTGGCTTACAATATTAAAATAATAAAACATACATATAAATATAAAAAACATAGCAGCCAAAAAAAGCCACACCATCATTCAACGCAGCCAAGTGATAGCCTCTATCCCACACTTCAAGTTCCAAGCTTAGAGACTTATTTCCAGGACCTTATGGAAGGTCAACGGGGATGGGGGCCAATCAGATCTCTGGAGGGATGGCATTCCAGAGGGCAGGTGTTGCCAGAAAGGGCTCTCTTCTCTCTTACCTGTCAGTCAACATCCCTTACCGTGCTGGAATAGATGGTACAAGAAAAGGAGAAGAGATACTGTATATACTAATACTGATGCTAATACTAGTCTGCTAGTCAGGTTAGTACTAGAATGGGAAAGTATCAGGAAATTCTGAGACTGTGACTAAACTGGAATGGTAAAAAAGACACTTCTTTCTTATTCCAAGAAAACAACATGTTCTTGTGATCACCAGAAGTTGAGGTTTAAGCTTTGAGCTTAAAGATTTGCTTAATGCAGAACAAAACATATGACCAATCTGAACTGAAAAATTAAATTTTTCTATACAAAATAATCCTAACTCATTTCTCTTCGTAAATGCCCCTTTACAATTTAAAACATCCTGTTCATAGAAAAAACACCAAGGCTTGCAAATACTTTTGAACGTACCGGTAGTTATTAAGGACTATATTTCAGAAGATTCTATTTCATGAATAGTTCATTTATAGAATATTTTTACCTCAAATTAAGTTTCTGAAAAAAATTAAATTTAAAATTATTATATCCATTGCAAACTGCACTAAATTAAACAGTTTGTGCTTCTTATTTTTGTCATTTCATCAAATGATGAAAATGATGACAAATTATGGGAAGGAGGAAGAAGAGTGAAAGACAAGGAAGAAAAGCCATCTTTACACTGAGGAGAGTTTTCATATGGATGGTTTGCATGTTTTGGCTTAAGGTTATTACAATAAAGTTCTTGCTAAATTGTTTGGTATATATTCAGATTTCTAAAGAACCAGCAATGGAAATATGAGGCAAAGCCTTTTCCAAGACTTCCTCAACTTGTATTTAATAGTTTTAAAATACAGGAACATTTTTATTTCAGATATCAAAGGTTCCTCAATGTTCAGAATTATGAGAAAAAAAGACAACTGTATTACACAAGGACAACAGGCTAAAGATTTTTCAGCCCGAAGGCCATCATTCTAACTTCACAACATTATGTGAATGAAATCGGTGATTTAAGATCAGGTAACAAATTGGACAAGAGTTTGAACTAGGGTTACTCTGTTCAAGAGAAGCTCTCAACTCTTCATTCTACAGGAGTGTGTGTATATATGCAAGAGACAGAGGAAGAGGAAAAAGAATCAACAGAGAGATCTTTATACGTTCCTCAAAAATACATCATTTAACAAAACTAGGTTTGCAGACCAGAAGATCTTTTCCCCCAAAAGTGATCAATGCACAATTAGTAACATAAAAGTAACCGTCATTCATCATTTATTCTACTCACATCAAGCACAGTGAGGGCAGGTAAAAGTTTGATATCATCAGAAAGACACTGCAGTTTGTTAGAAGATAAAATCAGTTTGTTGAGGTCAGTTTGCTCCCACCAGCGATCAGCACCAGTAAAAGAGAGGTTTTGGTGGGCCTCTTCTGGAGTATCCAAATTTATTCGCCATATATGTTGCGGTACTGTATAGAAAAATAGAGTATGTCCATATGAAAAAATCATTTTAAAAAATCATTCATCTTCTATTGTTATTCTTCTAAAGCAGAGGTGTCAAAATCGATTTCATTGAGGACCACATCGGGGGCGTGGCCAAGTGAGCATGACCAGCTTGATGTCATTCGTATCGGGCGCCTGTGGTGGTCTGAGCGCTCTGCAGTGAACAGGCTTCCGAGCTCCATTTTCGGCTGCAATGGCCGCCTACAACCCTCTGCCAGTGAAAAGGGAGCTCAGGAGGGCCTCCATTTTTGCTGGAAGAGGCACCGTGGGCCAATCTTTTATTATTTCCAGGGCGGCCTCATGCACCAGATCTAAGCACCCCACAGGCCAGATCCGGCCCCTGGGCCTTGAGTTTGACATCCGTTGTAAAGCAAAGGTGGGGGAACCATGGCCCTTTTATGATTTGTGGCCTTCAACTCCCAGAATTCTGGCTGACTCAGGAATTCTGAGAGTTGAAGTCCACAAGTCACAAAAGAGTTATGGTTCCCCACCCCTGTTCTAAAGCTAATACTGATTTTCGAATAAATTGATGGATTTTGAATAGAGATGTTATTTTTGAGAAGAATTACACATTTTCTAAAATTTTAAAAGATGTAGTGTCTCATTTTATTCAATTACAAAATAATTCACTTTTTGCAGAGTGCAAACAGCATGCTGGTCTATTTTACACCCTCCAACAGTTAAGGTCAAGTTTGCCTCACTAACAAAGGTAATGAGTGGTCCTGTCCTTTACAGCTTTGCCATAGCACGGTTGAAAGGCAAGCAATCTGTGATTCCACTGACTATTTTTCTCTCCCACTTAGTCTCATATTCAGCAGGAAAACCAAACACTAATTGTTTTGTGTCCAGTTTACAATGAGGTTGGGTGCCTGGATTGCAGGCTTTAGCCATCTTTCAACTTGTCTAAGTGACGGTTTACTCTTCAGTGACAACTTTCCACTTAGGCTATTTCTAAACATGAGTCCACAAGTCTTCCAGAAGAACTGAAACAAGGCAAAATACAGTCCAGTTCACAAAATCAATGGGGCAGAGGAAATGTACACTCATATGGCACATCTAAAGAGTCCCTCCCACCTCCTTCATAAACTGTCTTTCAACAACTTATCAGGTCACCTATTTTTGCACACAGATTAAGCAATCAAATTATCATTTATTGGTCATGCATATTAAAATAAGAACTGTCACTACTCTTGTGAATGTCATCCCAGTTCCCAAATATCCCTATCAATGTAATGCAAGAGAAAGGCAGTGCCAGCAACAAGAGACTGTGGCTTGCAATATCTGGAAGTATCCCATGGAGTGTGCAAAATGACACTTGAGTAGGTGAAATGGTGCCACTACTGTCAATGTAATAGTGCCAGCATGAAAACCTTGACTGCAGAAAAATGGTACCTTTTCCCATTTAAATTGATCTTCCACATTGACAATGATAGTCTACCACCCTTTCCAAAGGTCACTGAATATACATTAAAAATAGTTTCAAGGGGAAAATATTAGATACGTATCTGCAGAATATCTGATTAGTGCTATGCAAAACACCAACAGGTTAGGAATAATGCAGGCTGTAGAATCTAAGTTTCCATACAGGCAATCCTCAACTTACAATCATTTGTTTAATGACCATTTGAAGTTATAGTGGCAAGTGAAAAAAGTGACTTGTGATCGTTTTTCACACTTACGACCTTTGCAGCATCCCCATGGTCACATGATCAAAATTCAGAAGCTTGGCAACTGGCATGTATTTATGGCAACAGCAGTGTCTTGGGATCAACGTGATCACTTTTTGCAACCTTTTGAAGCAAAGTTAATGGGGAAGCCAGATTGACTTAACAACCCTGTTACTAGATTAGGAATTGCAGTGATTCATGTCACAACTGTGGCAACAAAGGTTGTAAAATGGCACAAAACTCACGTAATAATTATCTTACTTAGCAATGGAAATTTTGGGGTGCAAAATTGTGGTTAAGTCGAGGACTACCTATATTCATTCTCCTACAGCCCAGACTACAGAGGACGGTACCCTTTGGCTAAGGGGAATGCTGACTGCAACCAAAATTGAACCACTGAGTCTGCATGGGTATAAATGAGGCATAGGACAGCAGCGTCTCTTATGGCACAACTTATTTTCCTCTTATGGAGAAGAGGAAAAACTGGAGTCTGGTAATGAGATGCTGAACCATGCTCTCTAAAACTGGTTTGTAAGGCCAGGAAGATAAACCCAAGAATTCACTAACGCAGTAGTTTCCAAAACTGGCCTTTTTAAAGAGGCAACTGGACTTCCTGGTTTTTCTTTGGAGACCTTTCGCTTCTCATCCAAGAAGCTTCTTCAGCTGCGATGCAATATAAATGCTGCTGGGGCGATATAAAGCTGACTAATGCAATCAGGCTTTATATATATTGCCCCAGCAGGCTGGCTCAAGAATTGCAGGAGGAGTTTTTAATTCGTCTTAACCAACACCTGCTTTTCTTTTGTTTTTTGTTCCCGGAACAACTAGAAATGCACAAAACCCATAGGACATAGCAAGTCAAGAAAACAAAATAAAGGCAATACAGGCAAACGGTTTTCTTCTGCGGCTGGAAAAATCCCGGTGGCACAAACGAGACCGTGAATGATGCATAACAATGCAAAATCCCCTCCTACTCGGAGCCGAAGGATCGGGTAGAAAAAGACCCCTTTGTCTCTCCCCCCCCCAGGCTGGGGTGCTGAATTCCCGCCCTTCCGGCTTGGGAACAAAGGGCAGGCCGTCCTTCTTTAAGGAGGCGTAAACTAAATCTACCTTCGCTCTTTTGGGTGGGGTAACTAGGCTCCGGCCCTGCTCACCTTCGGTCAACTCCCGGCCGGACAGATTTAACTGGCCGCTCTTTCTAGCCGCCCGAAGCAAGCCCTGGGGAATAGCGGCCGCGTTGGCTTCACCCTGCCCTGCTCCCCGCCTGAAGCCCGCCAGGGAGTGCCCCGCGCCCCGTCTCCGCGCTCCAGACATCGCGGGCGCCTCGACTCTTCTCCCGCCTGAATTCCAGCGAGGCGGCGGGAAACGGCTGGCCGGCCTTTCCGCGCAAAGAAGGCGGACCAGCCTGCTCTCACTGTCGCCGCGTTTGGGAGGCGGTCTTGTGAAGTAAAACTCTCAGCGACCGGTGACTTTTGCTGTAAACGTTGGAAAACGCAAGGGGAAGGTTCCCAGTTAGAGTGACTGTTAAGGAAACGTGGACTCTTTCTAATCTGAGGGATAAAACTAGGATCCACTTTTCCTCTTTTCCAAATGGGCGTATCCTTGAGATTGACGATATTTTCCAAAGCACTTGAAGGCCAGACAAGGAATAATGGTGGAAACTGAGCAAGGAGACATTTTCTGACAGAACAAATCAACCAGTGGAAGTTGTGGGAGCTTCATCACTGGAAGCTTTCAAGAAGAGACTGGACTGCCATCTGTCAGTAATGGTACAAGTAGGGTCTCCTGTTTGGGCAGGAGGTTGGACTAGATGACCTACAAGGTTCCTTCCGACTCTGCTATTCTGTTCTATTCTGATTGTGCTTTTGGTTATGAGGTAGGGTTAAGGTTAAACGTGAACCAAGGACCTGGTTCCAGTTCTGTCCAAACCGTTATGATTAAGAGTTCTTTCCACACCATGTATGTTAACCAGCTCATCATTGCAAAAATGTGGTTGGACTCACACAATTACTAAAGCATAACTCCAGATTAATGTTACACAGTGTGCTGCATTCAAATAAACACTTCATATTTTGTCTGCAAACAAGATGACTGGGTTCCAACAATAAACCAAAGTACAAATTGCTCAGTTGTATGTTACACTTTAGCTAAATGACAGCACTTAAGTGACAGTGTAGTTGATGTGGGGAGAGACTAAGCAGGATCAGACCATGTTGTACATTGATGGAAAAATAGTATTACTTCTCAGGACTACAGTAGATTGGGAAGTTTTTTTTTAAAGCCAATCCAGGAGGCAGCGGCAAACCACAATATTGTTGTCAAAAAATCTTTGTGGACATCTCCAAATCTATATACTACTAAAATTCTGATTGTCATGACCCATCATTGGGTGAAATGGTACATCAGAAGAGCAATGATTTTTGAAGCAAAGTACCTTCAAATGGGCTAAATTACAGAATGTGTCCATAATCCGAGACCCATGACTTCTGAGAGAATGACATTTGGAGTTGTGGCTGCTTCAGTGCTGCTGCGTTCTTGAATTTCTGCCATTGCTTCAGTTCCATGATAGTTACCCAGACAGTCTTGCAATTCCTCACTCCCATCTACACTCAAAAGTAAACACTTCTTGCTTGCTGAAATGGGGAGATTTCCAATGCTGCCTGCCAGATTCTCCTAAGGAAATTCAGTGGGGAAGCCTGAAGGAAGTTGGAAGTCACTGCTATTCCCACTGCTTTATTACCCACTCTTGGTCATTTTGTTTCTGTTTAGATATAGAAGTATCTCTGAAACAGTGACCCAAAAAGATACAAGTTCTCTAGTATTCACCAAACCTCAAGCTCATTTCAAGGATATCCTTACTGTATTAATGGGTTGAGCAAGCCTAGCCAATCTACCATATCTAATTACAGTTTTATTGTCATTAACGCTGGTGCATCATTTTACTATTTCATAATTTCTTTTTTCTGTTCATCTACACATACACAAACACACCATAAAAATATCTTTCCTTTGGTCTAAACTTATAATGAAAGGATCATAATTTACAAAATTAAGACCTAAGTGTGCTACTCTTAAGGTATTGCAGCCTTTTTGCTTTTACAGCAACATATAAGCATCATTCCTCTGGAAATCAGGAAAGCATTTCTAGTGAATAAAATATTTAATATTGAAATGCTTTTAATGTGCAATTTTATACAAATCTAGCTAATTATCAGGATTTTTATTGCTCAGTTCCAAAGTTGTCTCTGACTCTTTGCAACCTCATGGACCATAGCACACAACACCAGGGGGTCCTGTCTTCTACTATCAATCCATTTGCAAAATGTCAGGGTTTGTTTTTTCTAAATTCAGGGGGGGGGGAATCAGAATTCATGTCACTTTCGCCAGGTGAACCTGTGGAACATATCAGTTCAGCTTTCTGCAATCTAGTGGCTTCCAGAACAAACATACATGGCATATTCAATTCTACTTTAAAGCTAGGATGTAGTGCTTAAACAATGTGCTGTTAAAGAATGCTTTGTTAAGTTCTGCAAAATAAATATAAATTGTCTTTAAAATTTACTTGTCAAATTTTACAATGAAACATGTGAAAATTTCATAATAGAAAATTAATAGAAAAACTTTGCCAAGTATTTTACATAAAATTACAAAAGAAACAGCATTTTTAACAGTGACCTAATGAATAAATCATACCGCAGCCCCTCTTTAAAAGATGGGTTGTTTAGAAATAATAATTTCTGCAGTCTTAGAAACTGCACATTTAATTAGGTTAATGGCCGAAAGACTCCTTTCTGCTTGAAAAGGGGAACTTAGTTCCACTCCCTGAGCTTTGGCCTTCTCCTGCGGTGGAGATTCAACATGCTATATACATCAAGGATCTTCAAACTTGGCAAGTTTTAAGACTTGTGGACTTCAACTGCCATAATTCCTGAGCTCCTTGGAGGAGGAATTATGGGAGTTGAAGTCCACAAGTCTTAAAGCTGTCAAGTTTGAAGAGCCTTGCTATACATCAATAAAGGAGAATATTTGTAGCTCAGGGTTGAAATGAGGGATCCTTGGTGCTCTGAGCTTGGTTTTCTCAGACATTTCCTTAGCCAAATTAGGCAACACCATCAGTACTAGTGATGCACTAGCATCAAGGACCCCTCATGTATATGCATCAGCTAAATCACTCAAGAAGTAGAGCCCCTGTCAGCACTGTTTCATTACAATGTGGAGAGGTTAATAAGACAGATTTATGCATGCAATTTATCAATCGCTTCGATTAAAATGGAAACTGATACGCTCTTATCGCTCAGAATTAAAAATAGAGATTCTATTTATCCAGGTCATGGTAGTCCTGAAAGTGCTTTTTTTTTTCCCCAAGAGACAACTGGATTTTCTGTTTTTTTCTTTGAAGACGTTTCGCTTCTCATCCAAGAAGCTTCTTCAGCTCTGATCGAAATTCCCCATCATCAAGTCAGAATTGAAAAAGCTTCTTGAATGAGAAGCGAAACGTCTTCAAAGAAAAAACAGAAAGTCCAGTTACTTCTTGGAAAAAAAAACACCACCTTCGGGACTTAAGCATCAATCCCAACCACGAACAGCTACGGAAATAGGAAAAGGCCTTTAACGCCGCCTGCACATGCGCGCAAGGCATCTCAAGTGGGCATGCGCACACGTGTCCCGTT